ACTGCTGCACAGAGGGGTGCTGAACAATAACAAGGGCAGTTTCTGGTGAGGTGGTGGGCTTGCCGGAAGCCCAGAGTCAAGCCTGGTCTCATGGCTGATGAAGGCATTTGATGACCACACTGATTGTCATGAGGGGCTAGTGAGGCCCAGTGATGGAATTCAGGACACTTGCCTATGTGAGGATTGTGCTTTTGAAGACCTTGCAGAATCCAAATCATAATAATTCAAGACTGATCCTTACAAAGGATGGCAGCTTTTTCTATTTGCCACCTAAAGTGGCTCTGCTATGTGATTGTAGCGTAAGCACAGTTTCTGGTTTCCTTTGTCAGCCAACTTAGGAATTGTGACGCATACAAGACAGTTTTAGTTAGGGAAGGTGGGATTTGGATTATTCAAAATTCTGATCACAGAGTAAGGTTTTATAACAGTTGTCTCATCTAATTCCTACTTTCATGAAGTGTAACCTTTTTTGTAAATTACAGAATAAGATTGAAAGTGCAGTAGCTGAGATCTGATGGACATGGAAGTAGAGAGAGGAGACGCCAGGAGAGGAGCTAGAGGTGGGGAAGGAGGAGGAGCTAGAGGCGGGGAAGGAGGAGGCCATGTCTTCTTGGGCACATAAGCAGGGCCAGGGCCAGGGGGAGCAAGGCAAGCCAGGCTCCCGGGATGACCCCACGCTGTCACAGTGCCGAGAGGGAGAGCCTCCTGGACATGGCACCCTGGGCACCTGGCTTGCCTCACCCTGGTCCCTGCCCAGTATGTGAGCCTGACTCTGCAGGGTGCCATCAACTTGGCTCAGTTTCCTGTTGAGAGGCAGCAGCTGGGGAGTGAACATAGTGGAAGTGCTTCCTGCTACAGCACCATCGCTGGCTTTTATTAGGGAAGACGCTTGCTACAGGTAGGACAGGCAGGGTTGGATTTAATTTGCTGGCAACAAGGAACTTGAATTAGATATTAAGTAGGGTTTGAGTCAGAAAATGGGCCCACATAATGGGCCTAGAGATGGAACTGCTGACTCTTGGGCCTTGGGTTGCTCAGCTGGTTGGATTCTAGAGGAAACCTGTAGGGTAATAAGCTTCTTTTCTGTAAGGAAGTTAGACTGGCTTTACTTCTAGGTCACCATCTGGAACCCCTTATTGGGCCTGGTACCTCCCATGTGGATGTGGGGCAGTGAGGAAATCAGGGAAGGGAGAATAAGGGGGTCACCCTCAGTCCCTCATCCGCACTGCGGTGCCCAGTGGTGCAGTGAGAGATGATGGGGAGACCTCCCTGCTGGGGAATTCTGTGATCTGACACACTGGACGGTGTTCCCTACCACAATCACTATCGTTCAGTGGACTGCTTTTGAGACACTAAATAAAGACAAGCGACATATGTACAGCCTAGATTTAATAAGATATATGCTGAACCCCAGAAAACAGCTCACTTGTGTGAGGTGTATGCTAACTGCTTGTTAGTCAGTATTACTGGGTGACTGCAAGAGGCCTGATCCCCTGACTAGGCACTGTCAGTTCCTGGAGTTCCAGGGCACGTGTGATATAACTTCTGCCATGCAAATGAATGTGATAATCTAAAGGTCTGAATACCCTTTTGAAAGTATTCTGTATTTGATTTGATCTTATAATAAGAAAGGGTCATTATTTTATAGATGAAGAACTTCAGATGCCGGGAGATTAAACCATTTTCCAAGTTAGTGACAGATCAACTTTTAAAAATTACTTAGTGGGTTAAAAGGAACTTTTAAAAAATCTGAAACATATATATGTAAATTTATATCCGTATAAAACATGAACATCCTCCCCACTGAATACCCACGCAAAGCTTACTGCTGTGTTTAACTTGTCCCTTCCCAACTGCTTTTTCTATATGTGTATGCAGGTACACATTTTTGAACCAATACACTGAGGTGGTATTAAGCCTGTTATTATATACCACCTTTTGTCCACTTAAAAATGTTGTGCAGGAAAATACACATGCATGAGGTTATTTGTTATAATATTGTTTAACTGCAGATGTAGGGATGCAATTGTGAATGTCCACACTTAGGCTGGTTGAATTAATGGCACACAGGACTGCTAGGCAGAGGGGAGAGGGGGACGGCGACACCTGCAAACTGCGTGGAGTGAGTTCTGGGATGCTTTGTTCAGTGAGAACAACAAAGTATAAAAAGAGCACATATAATGTGCTACTTTGGTGTAAGAAATATGGGAGGATACACTTAAATTTTTGCAAAAAAAGTACAAGAAGGATAAGGCAGAGGTGACTGAGCTTGGTGACTTTCATGGGTAAGTGGGAGATGGTGCAGGGGTGGGGACAGTGATATTTCTGCATTTGCTCCTTGTGGTTTTGACTTTTAGAACCGTGTTAGTATTTTGCATACTCCAGTATAAACCAGAACATCAAGGGTGAGGGAAACCTGCGGTGGAATACTACCCAAGCTGCCATCAGAGCCCAGCTGGACTTCAGATGAACAGCAACTGCACTGGAGGGGAGGAAGGACTGGCCTGGGCAATATGGGGCCCCAGTGTGCTGACTGTGGACCCTCAGTCTGCAGACGAAGAGAAGTGTGGACTTTGACCACCTTTAGCAAGATTCTGTGTTTTTCTCAGTGTTGCTGTGTCAGTGTCTGGCCATCTCTATTCTAGGATTGAGCACCCAGGCGACTATACTAAGGACAAAGGGGTTCAGGCTTCTTGCTGGGGGGAAGGGAGTCGCAGCGTGGAAAGGAGGGTGGCAGGAAGAGCCCCGTGGGGCTGGACTGGAATTGCAGGCGACGGCGGTAGTGTTCAGTCACAGCTTTGGTCAGAGCAGGAGTCCCAAGGGGGCCGTTCACAGCTGTGTTGGCACAGAGGGCTTAGAGGTGGTGGTGGAACCTGAGGGGCATAAACACACCAGTGCCCAGATCTGGGTTTTGGAGGATGTTCTCACCTAAAAGGACGCTTCAGAGCTTCTTGGAGAAATGACTGGTTCCTGGCTGGTGCCGGGGCAGTACACACTAGTGATGGAGACACGCCACAGGGCACAGGAGCCGGCTGGAGGGCCTCTTCCTCGTCCAGTGTGGGATAATGGGAGCAAGAAAGTAAATGACAGCCGTGGGTTATAACCCAGTGTGTAAAGGAGGACTCCATGAATCCACATTGATAAAGTTAGTTAAATTAAATTAGGGGGAAGGGGAAACTGTACCTTACTAAGGAACAACAGCTAATGAATGTAAAGGAATGATGGCATGAGCAAACCACCATTCGGCCTCCATCATAGTGGTACTGTTTTCAGGACAGAATTGCCAACGGATGCTGTAACTACTGGATGGAAACATGATGAAGCGGGATACTTATTCTAGAATTATCTTCCCACAGGCCACTTGTTAATTTACAAAGGGGAAAACAGTAACTGTACCCTGGAGAAACCTGGCAGAGGATGCCTTAAGTATGTGGTCCAGCTTAACATTGCCAGAAGTAGGAAAGAGTCATGGCAGAAGGAAAGGGCATCGCATCTGGGGTGGTCTTGCCAAAATGCATGACCTGTGTCTCCTCACAAGGAACTCAGACTAACCCAAAGTGAGAGATGTTCTGCAAAATGCTTGACCTGTACTGTCAAAGTCAAGAAGAGAGAGCATGAGGAATTGCTCCAGATCGAAGAGGACCCAGGAGAAAAGACAGCTAAACACAGCGCCTGCCCCAGGATTGGATCATGGACCAGAGGCCTAGAGGGAGAGCACTTCATTAGGACAGTCAATGAAATTTGAACTCGACTGGGGGTTGGATAATAGTATTGTTCTTTTTACTGGCTTTCCAGCTTTTCCTTAAGTTTGGAATTATAATGAAAAAGTTACTCCTCCCCCAGTAATCACCCAGGGAGCTTTTTAAAAGTGCTGGTGCAGGGATCCCACCTTCAGATTCTGAGTCATAGTTTAATTTGCTGATTTGGGGTGAAACTTTGGGCATAGATAATTTAGAAGCTTCTCAGCTGATGCACAGCCAGGCTTGAGAACCATTGCATATTGGAATTACCTGTGTCAAGGCCTCACCCTGAACGCATAGAATCAGGATGTCTAGGGGTGGGGCCCAAGCCCAGGCAATTAAACAGACAATTCCCAAGTGATTCTAATGTGCAGGAAGGCCTGAGAATAACTGACTTAAGTAAAATTGAAATTCAACTGACAAGTCATAGTCTTCAACTCCAAGGCTGGTATCTCTGAACCAACCAAATATATTGGCTTACATTTTCAGGACTGGAAAATAACCATCTGCTTGCTTCTCAAGCCATCCAAATTCTGCCTGTCCTCAAATATCCTGATACATCAGTCAGTACTTCACGCAGTGTCCATTCAAGACCGTTCAGCCCACATGGCTCTTGTCTCTCCCAAGTTTTCACCTTACCTTTTATCAGTGCTGTTTGTTAGGCAGTTTTTCACATGTTCTTCATACCATCTTTTGAGTCTGGAATTATCCCCCTGTTATGTGTTCAGTTCTTATTTCTGAAAATACAGAAACATTTTTAATAATAGTTAAATAACAGTGTAGTCTAGGCTGCTGTCCATATTGGCAAATGCTCAGTGTCCACCAATCTGTCTGTTTCCTTGTTTGTAAGTGAGGAGTCAGGTTCCACGGCATGTGCATCCCATAGTCGGTCTACCAGCTTCCCATTCCCTGACAGCTGTCAGTTTCATTTTCTTTTTCTTCATAAAGGTGATTCAGTAAACACTCTTGTCTGTATATCTTTAATGTCTCTTGCTATTTCTAAAGGTTAGATTTCTGGAAGGTGGATGACTTGAGCAAGGGGTGTGTCATATAACCTTGGATGGGTATTGCCAAATCGTCCTCCAAAAGGGTTGTACCTTCTCACCATCAGTGTGTCTGAGTGCTTATTTCTTTACAGTCTTCTCAGAGTTGAGTATTTTAATTTTTACTAATCAGAGAGATGAAAAGTTAACCAGATTTTGATTTACATCTTTCAGTGAAACATTATTTCATAGGTTTATTGGCCACTTACATTTCTTCTTTAACTTGCCACAATACCGTGTATGACTACCTTTTTTTTCTTACTGAATGTAAGTTTTGTTTCATGGCTCTTAACTGCTGCTAAAGTGTATTATATGTCAGAAAGCTCCATACCCAACTGTGAGAGTCCTCTGTGGGAGAATACTGGAATTTTAATCTTGGTAATGGGTGGTAAGTCATTATGGTATGTGGTTCTGTTTGAGGAGCATGATTCAGTATAGTGTAACGTGATGTGTTATGTAGTTCATGTACAGTGGTGCTCTCCTAGATGTGATCTTTGGTAGTGAGCAGAAAATAACTATCTGTCTCAAGGTAAAAATCAGAACACAGCCCACAGATCGCTGGCCAGTTTGCTGTACTCACCTGGGATATCTACCGATTTTTAAAAACCAGTCTCTGAAATATCAGTTCTCAAAACTGATACATTCTTGTCCTGTCAGTGAAGGGCATATTTATCTGATACTCTCAAAATAAATAAGGAAAATATTTAAATCCTCACTATAGCTCCTTTTCAAAAGGTACCTGACTGAGTCAGCGTTTTCCTCTTAAGAACTGAGAGTCATTGCAATTTAGGAGGATGGTCACTCACCCAAGACCAATAATGGTTGTGTCAGGTATGCTGACTGCAAACAACAGGAATCAACTCTGGCTAACTTGGGCAAGGAGTTTGCTGGAAGGCCTTTGGGGGCCAGTAGAGTTGGCAGGCCATCTGGAGGCAGCATGGAGGCCAGGATGTGGGGTGCTCACAGCAGACAGTCCCTCAGCTGGCAAAGGAAGGGGCTGGCCAGCACACTGCTGCTCCTGAGATGAGTGACCCCCAGCCATTTTCCCGCTTGTGGACACTGAACATTCTGGGGGGGTCTGATTGGCTGAGCTTGGTCACATGCCCACTGGCTGTACTGGGAAAGGAGAGGGAGTGTCCAACCCCCGGGGACTGGTGGTGTTGAGAGGCCTTCACCAAGGGTTCCATTCCCACCAAAACTTGGAGGAAGAATCCTAACGAGGGAAGAGTAGAGGTGGATTACCCTACGAAAGATCTTTTAGCAATGGTGTTTTTCAGTTTTACTTTAAAGAGTGGTTTTATGTACATTAAAGTCTCTTCATCCTCATGAAACTCTGAGCTGAGGTTTAGATGGTGGCAGTGTCAGGACGCCTCGCAGGTCTTCAAACTTACAGTCTAGCAGGCTTGCCTCTCTGCCACCCTCCATTTGCCCTGGTCTGCCTCAGTTTGGTCTGGTGTTTCTTGCAGGTTACATAAGGACAGGCTCAGTCTTTCTGGCCCAAACTCAGGACCGGCTGATCTCCCTGAAGCGCATCAACTCAAGGCTGAAGTACGTATGAGGCAAGAAGCCTGACCCGACTTTACGGTCAGACGGAACTCTGCCAGGGGGCCAGTGCATGTCATTGTCCCCTTGTGTTCTGTGGCAGTGTTATAGGCATCCCTTCTGAGATCATCTCCCCCAAGAAAGTGGCCGAACTACACCCTCTCCTCAATGTGCACGACCTGGTGGGGGCCATGCACGTGCCTGAGGATGCAGTGGTGTCCTCCGCTGACGTGGCTCTTGCCCTGGCAAGTGCTGCCTCCCAGAATGGTAAGCAGGCTTTTGGGTTAGGGAAGCGATTACCTGGGAAAGTGTCTCACAGTAGGCAGTGACAACAACTCTGCTTCCCCTTTGAAATGCTGGCTCTTAATGGTGTTTGTTTTAATGTAATACCTTTGGGTAAGTATTTTCCCTCAGGGCCATGCTTTTCTTATTAAAGCCCTAATAAATTGCTTTTAGTCTGATTAATGCACTTCAGACTCAAGGGAGTCCCCACCCCCACCAGCAGAACTTGAGAAGCTCAGGGTCAGAACACACCTCAGGGATTTCATCCGCAGCTTGGACCATGTGCCATGTTAGAATGAATGAGGGGAAGACTACTCAGTTTCCCTAGTGTTACACACTTTGGATGAACTGATTCATGATGCAGATTTAAGATGCCCTGTTTGAGTTTTTTCTTCTCTGCCCCTTTGTGATTCCTGGAATCTGATTGGATGCCAATGTTACCTAGCTTCAGTCTTGGGAAGGGCCCATTTATACAGTCTCAGGATGTGGTTCTGAGGAGTGTTTTGTTTTTTTAAATTAAAGCATTAACCTGGCTTTTGCAGTGTTTCTTATGAGTTGAGAATCCACTTGCAGATGCCTTAATTCTGGATCAGTGGAGGATGGACTCACCGATCCTTTCTTTACCTTGGAACAGGTGTTCAGATCTATGACCGGACAAGCATTCTCCATGTAATGGTCAAAAAAAGTCAAGTTACTGGCGTGGAGACAGATAAAGGACAGATCGAATGCCAGTATTTTGTCAACTGTGCTGGTCAGGTAGGTTAGAAACAATACTGGGTCACTTATTTCCTTATCTGACTTCAATCCCCAGGATTTTTTGTTGCACAGATGTAGGATTAACATTCTGATAGAAAGAGACATTGGGGCCACATTCTTTCTTGTTTGGACTGGAAAACTCAGAATTCTTGTACTTCAAGTCAGAAACCTATAGCTATTCCTCAGATAGACGCCCCTGTGCCCTGCCCTTGTGAAGTGGTGCTATCCTGGTCAGAAAGGCTGGGAAACATCTGGGCATTGACATAAATCCTTGCTATTGGGTCTTTCTCTGGAGGTTCCTTTCATCCTACAACCTAACAGTAAAGTATGAGGCTGCTTTACTGTGGCAGGAGCATGGATTCAGCTCAAACATTCAGCTGCTTCTACTTTTAAGGCAGCTTGGTCCCTTGCCTTCCACTCTACAGTCTTAGGGTGACCTAGGAAAACTTTTTGCCGTGTGAAGTTCATTTATGTTTGGTATTTGGGTTGGTAGCTGAGGCCAAGCACTTTGTTAAAGGGGCCTCACTTACTCTCCAAGAGCTCCTTCTACTAGCTGGTAAATCTTTCTGTCTTGATCTAACAGGACTTCTAATGACTTAAAACGTCGACTGTTGCTCCCTATCCCAATAATTGAACAAAAGCAGGCTAGACTTGGCTTCCCACACCTGACATTGTAGCCAGAACACACACAAGCCACTTGAAATTAAACACCTTTCAAGTGGCTGAACTTGCTCATGTGTCTTTCTGTTCTTCTTCCCACCCACAAATAAATCTGTCCGTTTGTAGTGGGCATACGAGCTTGGTCTGTCCAACGAGGAGCCGGTTAGTATCCCGTTACATGCCTGCGAACACTTCTACCTTCTGACTCGCCCCTTGGAGACCCGTCTGCAGAGCAGCACACCAAGTGAGGACTTACACTTTGTTTTTAATCTTGTTTCCTTGCCACTGTTCTGTCCTCTGAAAGGAAGACTTTCTGCTAAGAACAGATTGTCTCAAAAGAGTCTTGTCTTTCCCAGAGCATTGTTACGAGGAGGTGGACCCCATGCTGACTTTGTTTTAAGCACCCTTTATGAAGGGATGGCCAGTCGGGCATTCCACCTCGCGGTATTTTTGTTGGTTTCTCTTTGCAAGCTAAGTACCATCCCCAGCAGAGGCCTACATTGAGACTGTTTGGATTGGAACCCGGAGTTGCTGACTCGAACGCTCTCCACCGCAGAGCTGTCCTGGGGAAGCTGCAGACTCACGCTGTTCTGCGGCCCTGGGCCCCCGAGGAGGGGTTTGCTATCACTCTGGAGGCCTCCGGGCCTTTAGGGACCCAAGGCCTAGGTGGGCTCTGCGGCCCCACCCCGTGCTGGTGGGCTCTCACGTGGCACGGCGGCAGTTCTGCAGTTTGCCTGTGAGGGCCAGTTAGAGCTTCTAGGTAACCAGTGGAGGTAGGGATAGGCTGAGGATGTCCCCACTGTCGCCCTGAGAGGAGGATCCTCCCCCGGGACCTTGAAAGGCACTGGAAAGCCTGCCTGTGTCCCCTGGAGGCTGTTTCATTAATAAAGCCAACAGTGGGTGTTTTGTTTTCATTCTCTATTTCGAAAGCTACTTACCTCTAATCCCTTTGTCTCTTCTACGCCCCACTCCCTTATCATCTCTCTCCCTCAGCTGTTGTGGATGCTGATGGAAGAATTTATATTCGCAACTGGCAGGGTGGCATCTTATCTGGGGGCTTTGAGAAGAACCCGAAGCCAATTTTCACTGAGGGCAAAAACCAGCTGGAGATACAGAATCTACAGGAAGACTGGGATCACTTTGGTGTGTGAACTAGATGATAGTGATATTGTCCTATTTGTCTAAGATGTTAGGTTTTCCAGGACCTTTGTGAGAATAGCTCCTCATTTGATCTTTTTTTTTATTTTTATTATTTTTATTTTGGTATCATTAATGTACAATTACATGAGCAACATTCCTCATTTGATCTTTGGAACAACCCCACATGGTGGAGACAGAGGCCGGTCTAGAGTTGGCCTGGTCAGGGATGCACTAACCGGGTAGCAGGTTCGGGGGACTGAACTCTGGTAAGGGACCTTTGGCTCATTACTCATTGACCTAAAGTCACTGCTGAAATTTTAGGCTGGGAGGAGGCCTTTTTGTAGGACATGATATAAGATGGACGACATTTATAGAACATAGAATTGTGTTCCTATGGTCTTTGACTCAATTTCTTTCTTTTAATGGAATAATATTCAACATACAATGTATTAGTTTCAGGTGTATGTCATAGTGATTTGATATTTACATACTCAGTTTTTTAGTAACTTTATGTACTGAATAGTTAATATAGTCACATGGTCCCAAATCCAAAAGATATGGAAGGGTCTGTAGTGAGGAGCTGCCGTCCCACCCTGGCTGGACATTTTAAACAATAATCTCTCTATTGTGGGCAATTTTAAACTCTTAAAAGTGGAGAGAATAGCATGAAGAACCCACCATGTCCCCAGACGATGGACTTCCTGTGAAACAGGCTCAGGGTCGGTCTGTCTGCTGGGGCCCATCCAGCTGCAGCTCTCACTGCGAACCTCTCTGGGTGCCGCTGAAGGGCTTCTCTGCAAGCGCTGAGCGCCTGGGGATTCTTCTCTGCAGCCACATGCGGAGTTTGCTCTGCACAGCTCCTTGCCTTGCTGAAGAGTACCTTCCTTCTCAGTCTTGATGCCAAGTACTTCGTAGCTGCGCCCCGAAATGGCACCAAGGTGTCTGCTTTCTGATCAAGGGCCCAATTGGCTCTTCTTAGAAAAACCTCGTCTGAGAGAATTTCTGAAAGGAGGGTGAGTGGAAGAGGCTGTGAGCTGTAAACTCCCTCAGCTGAGCGCTCCGTCTGGGTTTGTGTTTACTGCTCAGAGCCCCTGCTGAGCTCCCTCCTGCGCAGGATGCCAGACCTGGAGCCGCTGGAGATCCTGAAGTTGGTGAACTGCCCCGAGACCTTCACGCCGGACATGAGGTGCATCATGGGCGAGGCTCCCTCGGTGCAGGGCTACTTCATCCTGGCGGGAATGAACTCTGCAGGCCTTTCGTTTGGTGGGGGAGCTGGCAGGTCAGTCTCAGCTTGGGGGGCTTCCTCCTGTCCAGACTGACTTGTAGTTGATGTGGTGTGATGTGTTTAGTCTGGTATGTTAGTAAGAGGGGGATATGTGCAATTTGAGAGTTGTCCCCCATCTCCTAGTCCAGAAATGACATTGTGCAAGACGCTTTTGGAACTCCTCGTTTGGAATTAGCCATGGAGCCTGTGGGACGATCTTTTTGTTCTTTCACTCCTAGCAAATGATGGTCCTTTGAGTATGTAATTGAGCTTGGAAACATCCAAGTGTGGTGAGAAAGATGATCATGCTGAGTAATCTAAGTTTCATTTAAAAATAGGTGCTAAGAAAATGAGCCTGTGATGACAGAACAAGTACTATGTGATTCGACCTTCATGACATACTTAGAGTAGTCCATAGAGACAGACAGACAGTAGAATGGTGGCTGCCTGGGGTCAGGGACGGAGAGTGACTGCTTAATGTGTAGAGTTTCATTTTGGGAAGATGGGCGGCGTTGCAGAGCTCGATAGTGTTGATGGTTACTCTGCAGTCTGAATGCACCTAACACCACAGGACTGTCCACTTGAAAATGGTGAAGATGGCCTGTTCTGTGTTCTGTGTATTTTACCACAATTGAAGAAACTTTTTTAATTCATGAAGCCATTTTTCTGAAGTGACTTGTAGAATGGCTCTGAAAAAGTTATGGACGAGGAGTAAGAAAAAACATTCGGAGCAGAAGAGGTGTGGTCAGACAACTATATACCCCTATGAGGTGACTGTTTTAACTCACAGGATGTATAAATTAGGGTACATTTATTGTATGCATATCTTATTACTTCCTCATAGACAGGGCTTATGTCTTAAAACATTTCTAGAGAATCTTATTCGAACTAAAATCCTCATAGTGGTCTTGTGAGAGCAGTAGATGGATCCAGGTGTATTTCTTCTGGGGGCCAGGATTGCCCCACTTGTCTGTGATATGAAAGGATCTTGGATTCGGGTGGTTCTTGAGTCCTAGTGTAGTGCTGAGTGTCACATCTGAGGCCCAATACCTTTCCCCACGTCTAAACAGGTACCTGGCTGAATGGATGGTGCACGGGTATCCCTCAGAAAACGTCTGGGAATTAGACCTGAAGCGTTTTGGAGCTCTCCAGAGCAGCCGTACCTTTCTGCGCCACCGGGTCATGGAAGTCATGCGTAAGTGAAACCTATTCCACTTGCACCTAGTTGAAGTGCCTTGTTTGGGGCTTGTCCTGCCATTCAGAGGAGCAGATTTCTCCGTAGTCATTAGTAATTGCTGCATGGTGGGCTTATGGTGTTGACTTTTCAGGCCTGTGTGGGTCATTGTGCCCCGAGTGGTACTTACGGAATGTTTTCTGTAAGGTATGGCACTTCATGTAGCTCTTGCAGCGTGAAGCAGAACAGGACTTGCAGCATAGCTCCTGCCAAACTGCCAGCAGCAACTTCTATGTATTCCTAGCGGCGTCTGCATGCTGCTTTGCTCAGAGAGGCTGTCAGAGAGTGTGCCAGCTCCCCACTTAGTAGCTGAGGCCATGGTTTACTTTCCAAGGCAGAGAATTTGCCAAGTTATTCTCAAAGCTTCATGCTTCTCTGAGTGATTTTTGTCATTAATATGTTATATGCTAGGAAGATAGGAAACCACTTCTTTGTGAACATAGTACATACATTTCTGCTTTCTCCTTGTTCTTGTTTCCCTACAACTTTGAATGATTGGCCTCTTCATTTTAATTTGAGGTTTAATTTGTTATTCTGCCTCTGATTTATTTTCTAATAAGCCCTTAGGGACAGTTTTTATTAAGAATTGATCCAAATCAGATTGTGATTTCATGTTCCTATACTGAGGAATTGGTCTGTGACTTGGCCAGAATATGTCTAAATATTTTTGACATATTGATGCGCAGGACTAAGTTTCTGCATTGGCCGTGACCACTGTTCATGATTAAGAATGAGTTGCTGGTTTGGTAGCTGGAGGTACTGCTCACAGTGAGGCCTTTCAACACCTGTGCACGGACTTTTGGCCAGAGGCAGAGAGCTCATATGCGTGGGGAATAAAGGACCTGGCAGCAATATGTATAACTTAAAAGGTTTTTTATTTGTAAGAAATATTTTGGTTTAAATGTTGAACTGTCATAAATCTAGAGTTCCTCATCCATAGTTACATTAGAACCTGTGCAAATAGTAATTGAACTTGAGTTTCTTCTGGAGGATATGACACTTTTGGTGGCCTTTCTCTGACATAAAATAGAAATTGCAGGCATGGTAGGAAATGGGGAAGAGGAAAGCAGAACATAAAGGACCATAGGAGATTGACAAACTGTCCCAATACAAGGAGACCAGCATTGCTTCCTTCTCTTCAGTCTCCCAGCCTCCCTACCTCCTGACGTACCTTGTATTTGGAATGGTGTGAGGTCAGGTCTTCTCTTTGAAAGGGACTAGAGATCACACTCTTTCTGGCTATTTACTCATGGCTGTTGCAGATTGGACATTAGGAGAAATGAATTCTAACCCTAGCTTTGTTATGTGAATAATGTTACTGGGACAATACTATACAACCTGTCAGATTTCAGAGCCACCAAATCAAGGTATGCTAGGTGCCCTTTCACTTCAGAAATTGATTAAATATTAGAGAGGAAATGTCTGTAACAGGTGTGAGATCCCAACAAGATCTAAGAATCAAGTGCCCTTTTTTCATCCTTTGTAACCACCTGTGTCCCACTTAGATACAACCTTCATCTCTGCTGTGGAGCTTAGCAAGGTTTAGAACTCCGACCTTTCTCCCATTGTTTCTACCACTAATTTGGAATGACAGTTGTGAACAAAGACCTAGAGTTGTTATGTGACGCATAGCTATACAGCTCTATGGAGGGACGATACCAGCTCTTGTAGAACTATTCTTTTTTTCTGGAGCACGCCTGTTATCCTGGGTGCTGGTTGGCAAATTGGCCACATGAGGCTGGAAAGCATGTTCTTTAGAATAGGAACCACTCCAGAGCCCAGTGGATACTGGGGCTCAGCTCTGTGGTCTGGGCTTTCAGAGACTGTTGCCTGTTCTAGCTCTGCTGTACGATCTGAAGGTTCCTCGTTGGGACTTCCAGACCGGGAGGCAGTTACGCACGTCTCCTCTCTATGACCGGCTGGATGCCCAAGGAGCCAGGTGGATGGAGAAACATGGATTTGAGAGGCCAAAGTACTTTGTGCCACCAGACAAGGGTAAGAAGCTACATTCTCATTTTTGTCCTATTTTTTTCTGCTCTGAGAATTAATAAAACATATTTCTAAATGTATATAGCTAGAATGTGTTCCTGGGAAGACAAATAAAAACTGCTATGCTATACTAAACTATATAGGGAGATCTTCCAATATAAATCTCCTTCCCTTTTCCTTTTCTCCTATTTTGTCCTGTAGACCTCCTGGCACTTGAGCAGAGCAAGACTTTCTATAAGCCAGACTGGTTTGACATTGTGGAGTCTGAAGTCAAGTGCTGTAAGGAAGCGGTGTGTGTCATCGACATGTCCTCTTTCACAAAGTTTGAAATAACAGTAAGTATCTGGGAGCCAAGATAACAGATTAGGAGCCTGCACATTTATTGAATGCCTCCTGTTTCTCATCTGTCACTTCAAAACAGATGATTTAAGAATTCTGGTATATGTCAGTGTTTTATCTGTATTAGAAAATTTTTCTGAATTTTTAGCTCTTTGTTTCTGGTTTGTAATCTGCTTGCAGAGGCCCATATATCATTAGAGTCAACAGCTGGCCTTCTCTGGAGCTTCTTGCTGTGGAGAAAAGCTGCAGTAGTGTTGCCTGGGTTCTGGCTAATTGAATCTTCTGGCAGACCACCATGCTCATCAGGCCGTGTGACCCAGCCAGATGCTGTCATGCTCACTCTCTGCTTTGTTCCCTCACCCTGCAGTCCACCGGGGACCAGGCATTAGAGATCCTGCAGTACCTCTTTTCCAACGACCTTGATGTGCCTGTGGGCCACATCGTACATACGGGCATGCTCAACGAGGGTGGAGGGTATGAGAACGATTGCAGCATAGCGCGCCTGAGCAAGCGCAGGTGAGGTTCCCTGCCAACCCACTCTGCTCCTGCCACTGCACTTTCCCAGGAAACCCTAACTCTACACCCAGGACCAAAAAACCATGTCATTAACTCACGACCAGTTCATTAGCAGCCCCATACAAAAATAAATCATCAGGGAAAAAAAAGAGACCCTCCAGATTATGTAAGAGATCATGTGCTAGTGTTCTGCTCAGTTTTGAGACTCCCTGACAACTTAAATGCTTCCCAAGCCTTTCTCTGCTGCCTGGTAGTGATTTCTTTTGGGTCTCGCTTTCAGTTTCTTCATGATTTCTCCAACTGACCAGCAGGTCCACTGTTGGGCCTGGCTCAAGAAGCACATGCCCAGAGACAGCAACCTGCTTCTGGAGGACGTCACCTGGAAATACACTGGTAATGCAGCCCTCTGAGCTCAGCTGAGTAAGGAAAGGCCAGCCAGTCCAGATTTGTCTTTCAAAATGTATTTATATTTGACTTTCAAAAATGAGGTTCAGAATTAGAAGCACAGAAGAGGATCTCTGGTTATAGAAAACTGAACCCTAATACTTGCCCATGTTTCTGTAAGTGGGGTGTGGAATGAATTAGTGCTTCAGTTTCCATTTGATTTGTTCTCTGCTGTATCCCTTACAGCCAGCATGTAGGAGTGCAAATATTTGTTGAATGAATGAGTAAACCATTTTTAAAGTATTTTTACATTTATTACAAAAGTATTATTTTCTTTAAAATTTCGGCTTAGCTTTTTAAAAATGATTTAGCAGTTTTTAAGGATACCTTAATTCGCTGATTCTTCATCAGTCCCTCCTCTTCTACCTCTTCTTTCCAGGTTTAACCCCTACCTCCCTTTACTGATTCTAGCCCTGTGCCCCCACCAGGCCTTATTCTCAATTCACTGTAGCTGCAAATATGACTAATTTCTTGTTACCAGAGTGGGAAACTATAGAATGTTATTGAACCTCTTTTTAGCCCATATGTGGTAGAATGATGTATGATTAGCACAAGCTTCTATCACAAACATGACTGACTCCAGGGTGTGTGGGCAGCTCTCCTCCGGTACTGATTTGGAATTGGGGCATTTGCTGTCATGTAGCCACAGTGGGAAGAGGAAGGCAGTGGAAACTGTGCAGCGAGTTTGTAGCCAGCTCTGGAAGTGGGCTCCTATCTCTTTGGCCAGGGTTTGGTCTCATGATCCCAATCTCACTGCAAAGCAGGCTATGAAACACTGTCTGCCTGTGTACGAGGTAGAGGAGACCCCAGCCAGGTCTTGCGTGCCAGCAGGTGGTAGCTGCATTTAGCAGGCCTGTCAGGAGAAGTGTGTGTGCCAGAATCAGGGTGCTTAGCATCCACCTTCAGATTGCCTAAGCAAAGGTATGCTTTCACGACCTCACCCTTGGCTGTAATGAGCAAGTCTGGAACAAACCTTTTCCACTGGCCTAGCTGTTCACCTGGAGGTGCCAGACATCTTGTTCTTTTCTGTTTAGCCCTCAATCTGATCGGTCCTCGAGCTGTGGACGTGCTGTCTGAGTTGTCCTATGCCCCTATGACTCCAGACCACTTCCCAAGTCTGTTTTGCAAGGTGGGTGCTAATAAAGTTATAGTTTTTTTAAGTGGGCAGGGAATATTTCTTTTATAGAGGTGGCAATTACATGCTCTTACTATGGCATTAACTACTACAAAATGTGTTCTGACTTTTATTAAGCAAACAAAATGAATAAATTCATTTCTTTATTTTTTACCCTTCAAGTTGCCCTTATTTAATAAGCATTAGGATATCTTTGGATTTGCCTTCTCTGATATCAGTTCTATATATTTATTGCTTTCTGTAGTGGTCGATTAAATTTTTTAATTATGTGATTATGACACTTGCCCAAAATGCCAAGATCAGGTGCCTTCTCTCCATGGTGTGCTTTGTCTTTGCCATACAGAGTAACCTCTGTGCACGTGGCATCCGCAGGTAAGAAATGGGTTAGGTGAGTCCCTAGATTCACATCCTTCTTATGCTTGGCAACGGTAGCTGAGTGGAAAAAAACTGTAAACGACAGAAAAAAAAGAAACAGTCACTGAATATTCTGTTGGAAGTCCAACAGAATTCAAGTGTGCAGCCGCCTGTAGCAAGCAACTGCAGGACCTCGACGGATGGGGGCGCTGTGGCGTTCAAACCGAAGTCAGGGTCTACCAGCTAACTCATTGTCAGTTTCCCTTTTTCTTCTTGGCAGTGAGAGAAAACTCTCACCGCAGGCGGCAGCAAGCCCCTCCCAGCACACGCTTCCTGCCGGATCAGTGGTATGAGCGTGCAGACACCACATTATGCTGGGCTTCCCCGTGAACAACCGGCCCGCAGCTGTGTGGGGCGCCACAGTGTCCATTATGGGGACAGTGATGTGTCAGAGGCTCATTAGGTAACTGAGCTCCTGTAAACACGTTTTGAACAGTAGAAGCCTCTGCCTCCAGGGTAGCAGGTGAACCTCTCCTGCAGTTATTAGGCCTCATCTTTTGTAGGGCAGGTCCAAGTCCCCAAGAGAAGGCATTTGCCTGGTCTGCGTTGCTCCCAGTGCCCTGACTAAAACGAATCTTCAGCAAGACTGCAAAAAGAAAAACCTCATGCTTGTCAAGCTGAAATGGTGATATTCAGAAGAGCTGTTGCGAGGGCTGTGCTCCCTTTCTAGTGACTCCAGTACCTGGAAACGGACCATTTGGAAGATGAAATTCTTTCATTCGCATCTCCTTCAGAGCCAACAATGGGTGCAGGGCTAGTGAGAGGGGTTTTGCCTTAGGTGCTCATGTCTTGAGCAAATGTGTGGAGTGGCCACTTCCCTGAGGGACTTCCACCTTATCTCCCCTTTGTTTCCACAGGAGATGAGCGTGGGCTACGCAAATGGGATCCGCGTAATGAGCATGACTCACACGGGAGAGCCAGGATTCATGCTTTACATCCCCATAGAGGTGAGACCCAAGAAAGGGAGGTGTGTGGGCCTTCCCACAGCTGCAGAGTGCTGGTGGGGTTAGACAGGTCTGACTGGGCCTTGGTAATTGAGGTAGGCTGCATTAAAGAGACTTTAGCAGTTTTAACTAAGCTTTTCTAATAAGTAGTAGTACATTTACATGGCCTAAAAATAAAAACCTGTAAAAAGTATTCAGGCACCTGGCCAGTTCCCACTAACCACCACCAGTGATAAAACTATTCATTTTGGTATGTCATGTCAGAGATTTCTGTGCATATGCAGTCAAGTTCAAAGACATCCTTAACCCCCTTTTTGAAACACAAACCTACTGCTGTTCACAGTTGTAGAGATCTTTCCTTGTCAATGCCTGAAGACAAAGAGTGCCCTTTTTATTTTTCAGCATGGTATATAGTATTTCATCAAACAGCTGAATCATAATTTTTTTTTCATGATGGTTTGATTTTTTTTATTATTAAGGTATCATTGATATAAAGTTGTCTTGCCAGTGGGATTCCCCAGGCAAGTTCACTATGGATTCAATGTGATTAAAGAAATGACAGAACATTCTTGGGGTGAAAGGGTTATACCCAATTGTATTTCCACAGTGGCAGGTCCGTCACTAAAATCTGTCTGCATGCAGCAAGCCAGTCTCTGCCTCTGGGCCTCTGTCCTCACTGCTGCCACCACTGCAGCCTCTGCTCTGCTCTCCTGCAGCCTTGTAGCTGTGCCACCATGTCACCCAGAGCACTGGGCAGGGCTCTCTCTATAGTCAATAACGATGCATTCCCCACATGTGTGTAGTGAGCTAGCCAACCAGGGCCAGGTAAGAATCCTGGCCATAAGACCTTCATTTTGTCCACAACTTATGAAGGTTTCACATAAGCAACATTGTGGTTACTACATTCCCCACTATTATCAAGTCCCCCACACATACCCCATTGCAGTCACTGTCCTTCAGCATAGTAAGATGCTATAGAGTCACTACTCGTCTTCTCTATGCTATACTGCCCTCCCCATGCCCCCCTTACATTATGTGTGCTAACTGTAATACCCCTCAATGCCCTTCACCCTCCCTCCCGACCTATCCTCCCCAACGCCTTTCCCTTTGGTAACCACTAGTCCCTTCTTGGAGTCTGTGAGTCTGCTGCTGTTTTGTTCCTTCAGCTTTGCTTTGTTGTTATACTCCACAAATGAGTGAAATCATTTGGTACTTGTCTTTCTCCACCTGGCTTATTTCACTGAACATAATACTCTCTAGCTCCATCCATGTTGTTGCAAATGGTAGGATCTGTTTTCTTCTTATGGCTGAATAATATTCCATTGTGTGTATGCACCACCTCTTCTTTATGCATTCATCTATTGATGGACACTTAGGTTGCTTCTATGTTTTGGCTGTTTTAAATAGTGCTGCAATAAACATAGGGGTGCGTATGTCTTTTTGAATCTGTGATCTTGTTTTCTTCAGGTAAATTCCTAGGAGTGGAATTCCTGGGTCAAATGGTATTTCTATTTTGAGGATTCTGAGGAACCTCCATACTGCTTTCCACAATGGTTGAACTAATTTACATTCCCACCAACAGTGTAGGAGGGTTCCCCCTTCTCCACATCCTCACCAGCATTTGTTGTTCCCTGTCTTTTGGATGGTGGCGATCCTTACTGGTGTGAGGTGGTATCTCACTGTGGTTTTAATTTGCATTTCCCTGATGATTAGTGATGTGGAGCATCTTTTCATGTGTCTGTTGGCCATCTGAATTTCTTCTTTGGAGAAGTGTCTGTTCAGATCCTCTGCCCATTTTTAATCGGGTTATTTGCTTTTTGGGTGTTGAGGCATATGAGCTCTTTATATGTTTTGGATGTTAACCCCTTATCAGATCTCATTATGAATATATTCTCCCATACCATAGGATGCCTTTTTTTTCTACTGATGGTGTCCTTTGCTGTACAGAAGCTTTTTAGTTTGATGTAGTCCCATTTGTTCATTTTTTGCTTGTTTCTCTTGCCCAAGGACATGTGTTCAGGAAAAAGTTGCTCATGTTTATATTCAAGAGATTTTTGCCTATGTTTTCTTCTAAGAGTTTTATGATTTCATGACTCACATTCAGGTCTTTGATCCATTTCAAGTTTACTTTATGGAGCTGAAGAGTAATCCAGTTTCATTCTCTTACATGTAGCTGTCCAGTTTTGCCAACACCAGTTGTTGAAGAGCCTGTCATTTTCCCATTGTATATCTATGGCACCTTTATCATATATTACTTGGCCATATATGTGTGGGTTTATATCTGGGCTTTCTATTCTATTCCAGTGACCCATGTGTCTGTTCTGCCAGTACCAAACTGTTGATCACTGTGGCTTTGTAGTAGAGCTTGAAGTTAGGGAGAATAACCACCCAGCTTTAGTCTTCCTTCTCAGGATTGCTTTGGCTATTTGGGGTCTTTTGTGATTCCATATAAATTTTAGAACTATTTGTTCTAGTTTATTGAAGAATGCTGTTAGTATTTTGATAGGGATTGCACTGCATCTGTAAATTGCTTTAGGCAGGATGGCCATTTTGACAATATTAATTCTTCCTATCCATGAGCACGGGACATAATCCATTTATTGGTGTCTTCTTTAATTTCTCTCATGAGTGTCTTGTAGTTTTCAGGGTATAGGTCTTTCACCTCCTTGGTTAGGTTTATTCCTAGGTATTTTATTCTTTTAGATACAATTGTGAATGGAATTGTTTTCCTGATTTCTCTTTCTGCTAGTTCATTGTTAGTATATAGGAATGCAACAGATTTCTATGTATTAATTTTGTGTCCTGCAACTTTGCTGAATTCAATTCTAATAATTTTGTGGTGGATTTTTTAGGGTTTTTTTATGTACAGTATCATGTCATCTGCAAACAGGGACAGTTTAACTTCTTCCTTACCTATCTGGATGCTTTTTATTTCTTTGCATTGTTTGATTGCCGTGGCCATGACTCCAGACTCTGTTGAATAAAAGTGGGGAGAGTGGGCATCCTTGTCTTTTTCCCGATTTTAGAGGAAAAGCTTTCATTTTTTCACTGTTAATTATGATGTCTGTGGGTTTGTCATATATGTGGCCTTTATTATGTTGTTGAGGTACTTGCCCTCTATATCCATTTTGTTGAGAGTTTTTATCATGAATGGATGTTGAATTTTGTCAAATGCTTTTTCAGCATCCATGGAGATTGTGATTTTTGTCTTTTGCTGATGTGGTGTCTGATGTTGATGGATTTTGAAATTGTACCATCCTTGCATCCCTGGAATAAATCTCACTTAATCATGATGGATGATCTTTTTGATGTATTTTTGCATTTGGTTTGGTAATATTTTGTTGAGTATTTTTGCATCTATGTTCATCAGGAATATTGGTATGTAATTTTTTGTATGTGGTATCTTTGCCTGGTTTTGTTATTAGAGGGATGCTGGTCTCATAGGATGAGTTTGGAAGTATTCCCTCCTCTTCTACTTTTTGGAAAACTAAGGAGAATGGGTATTAGGTCTTCTCTAAATGTTTGATAAAATTCAGTGATGAAGCCATCTGGTCCAGAGGTTTTGTTCTTAGGTAGTTTTTTGATCACCAGTTCAATTTCATTGCTGGTAATTGGTCTGTTCAGATTTTCTGTTTCTTCTTGGGTCAATACAACCTTCTTGGAAGGTTGTATTTTTCTAGAAAGTTGTCCATTTCTTCAAGATTATCCAGTGTGTTAGCACATAATTTTTCATAATATTCTCTAATAATTCTTTGTATTTCTGCAATGTCTGTAGTGATTTTTCCTTTCTCATTTCTGATTCTGTTTATGTGTGCAGACTCTCTTTTTTTCTTGGTAAGTCTGGCTAGGGGTTTATCTATATTATTTATTTTCTCAAAGAACCAGCTCCTAGTTTTATTAATTCTTTCTATTGTTTGGTTTTTCTCAATTTTATTTATTTCTTCTCTGATCTTTATTATGTCCCTCCTTCTATTGACTTTGGGCCTCATTTGCTCTTCTTTTTCTAGTTTCATTAATTCTGAATTTAGACTGTTCATTTGGGATTGTTTTTCTTTCTTGAGATAGGCCTGTATGGCTGTGTACTTTTGTCTTAGAACTGCCTTCACTGTGTCCCACAGAAGATGGGATGTTGGGCTGTTGTTTTCATTTGTCTCCATATATTGCTAGACCTCTGTTTTTATTTAGTCATTGATCCATTGATTATTTAGGAGCATGTTAAGCCTCCATGTGTTTGTGGGCTTTTTTTGTTTTCTTTGCACAATTTATTTCTCATTTCATACCTTTGTGGTCTGAGAAATCGGTTGGTACAATTTCAGTTGTTTTTAATTTCCTGAGGTTCTTTTTGTGGCCTAGTATATGGTCTATTCTTCAAAATGTTCCATGTGCACTTGAGAAGAATGTATATCCTGTTGCTTTTGGGTGGAGTGTTCTGTAGATGTCTCTTAGGTCCATCTGTTATATGTTATAATGTGTTGTTCAGTGCCTCTGCCTCCTTACTTATTTTCTGTCTGGCTGATATGTCCTTTGGAGTGAGTGGTGTGTTGAAGTCTCCTAAAATGAATGTATTGCATTCTATTTCCTCCTTAAATTCTGTTAGTATTTGTTTCACATTTTTGGGTGCTCCTGTGTTGGGTGCATAGATATTTATAATGGTTATATTCTCTTGTTGGACTGATTCCTTTATGTAATGTCCTTCTTTGTTTCTTGTTACTTTCTGTGTTTTGAAGTCTATTTTGTCTGATAAAAGTACTTCAACTCCTGCTTTTTTCTCCCTATTAGTTGCATGAAATATCTTTTCCCATCCCTTCACTTTTAGTCTGTGTGTGTCTTGGGTTTGAAGTGAGTCTCTTGTAGGCAGCATATAGCTGGGTCTTGTTTTTTTATCCATTCTATAACTGTGTCTTTTGATTGGTGCATTCAGTCCATTTACATTTAGGGTGATTATCGATAGGTATGTACTTATTGCCATTGCAGGCTTTAGATTCATGGTTACCAAAGATTCA